ATGTCGAAATAAAAAAAAATTAAATACACAAATAAAAAAAAAATTAAATAAAAAATAAATAAACAAAAGGAGAAAAATCTTCAAAAAATACTGTTTTGGTACTGTATATCATCAATTATAATAAATAGGCTTGTAATAATAATAGTACATGTATACGCAAAATATTTCAGATGAGCAAGTTTATCACAGACAAATGCATGGACACAGATCGGGCCTTCACTTTCTCAGAATTTTTAGTCTTTTAGGCTCCATTCCTCCTTCTTCTCCCTCCTCATCTTTTGAGCTCTCCCCCTCCCCCTCATCCTCCCCCTCCTTCACCTCTATCTTCATGTTTAATGCTCCGTCCCTTCTTCCCCCTCACTCTTCCTCTTTTGGGCTTCCTCTCTCCTCTTCCTCTTCGACATCCTCTGATACAGGTGGAGGCATGCCCATGTTGAAATCCCACACCCGTATCTTGTTGTCGTAAGAGGCGCTGGCGATCCGCAGCTCGTCCACGTAGACACAGTTGACCGCGTTGTGGTGGCCCTGGAACGTTTGGACACTCGCCTCCCTGGGGGGAAATGGTGGAATGGTATATATATTTAACGCCGCTATCATCACTATTAGCTTATTTAAGAGGCGGGACCTCCGAGTTCAGCGTCCATTTCCGAGAGAACTGAGCAAATGGGAAATTCATGTAAAGTGCCTTTCCCAAGGACATAACGTCGGACCGAGCAGATGATCGTACCCCCGAACCCGCAGTCTCATGATTACGAGTCCAGTAGCCCCCTTTTTCCCAGTCCAGCATGTGTAATAATTTGTCCTTATTCAGAACTTTATTTGGGTCACATAGTTACAACCTTCGAAAAATACGCATTATTTTTGCCAAAGTCAACCACAAAATTCTTAAAATATAATACTTTGTTTTAAAATACATTCACATTAAAGCTGAATGTTTCTTTTTCCACTCCGACTTCCAGGAGGGTCCGAAGTTTTATTTTCCTCGACCATTCCTGAAAAGTTCCTGTCTGAGTCGGGTGCTCGGACTCTGACAGGGGACAAGGGGTGGGTATTTTCTTGTTCCTTAATCGTGGATTTAGACGTGGGAACGAAAGTAAAAATGCGTAAAGAAGGGGAAATGGAATTGATAGGCTTACACACACACACGCACACACACACACACACGCGCGCGCGCGCACACACACATACACGCACACACACACAAACACATATAGAGACAGATAGACAGACAGACAGAGAGAGAGAGAGAGAGAGACACAGAGACAGAGACACAGAGACAGAGACAGAGAAGAGGGAAGAAGGGGGAGAGACAGGGACCGAAGATAGACAGACAGATAGATATGAAGAGAAAATGTGTAAGTTATAAAGATGCACTCACTTATTTGTGTCCCAGTATTTGATCAACCCGTCTTTTCCGGCGCTGATAATGGACCCCTCGCATTTGTTGGCGTCAGTGATCTTCAAACTCACTGTTTCAACTCTGGTGAAATAATAACAGTTCACCTATTAACTTAAAATGACCACAAAAAACAAACAAACAGCAAACAGTATCAGCCGAAGAACTATCTTTCGCCTAACTGCCTCTGAAGGCACTTCGGTCCTTCAATACATTTTTCTCATCCCACATAACAGTGGGGCTGATAATGCTTAAAAAAAGAGAAAAGAGCTAAACTACATTCGTTTAGGATATTAACAAAACCAAAACAGGCTCCTCCATACCCCGCCTCCCCCAAGAAAAGAACGAATTAATAATACAAGTGACTAAATGGTCAACGACTGATGTTAGAAAATGGAAACAAAAGTAAATTAGAATAGACAGATCTAAAGAAAAGAATGAAAGAACTAACAAAAAACAACAACAAATTAACAGGAAAACAAATAATAACATCGGTCTATACCTTTACTAAATAAAAAAAAGGGTAAAACTTTAACCCCC